CCCTTTTGACTAAAATAAAATTTGAAATAGTCAAGAATCTTGAAATTGAGGGGTCCAAATGTTATTTTGTAAGGACTCTGGGTGGCAACAAGTAATATTTGTATTAATACTAGTTTTCTAATAAAACCTACAAACCCATAGTTTTCATCTCATCCTCCTCATTTTTCTCTCCTTGTCTGCCTTTTCAACTTAATTTCTTCACAAGAAAATAGCAAAATGGCGTGCATTTCTTACAGTTCTGCAGTTACCAACAATACCAGTATTAAATTTCATAACAGCCGTTATCATTTCAATTTTGTGGCAAAGATTTTCAATCCCAGTAGTTACCAAAGTTGTTTTAACGTCGAGCCCATCAATTTTGATGCTGCCAAAAGTAGTATTGATGTTAAATACTTTCAAGTTCGCCGGTGTTCTCGCCGTGGTCTTGCCGGAGGAGGTCGTAATCAATCCCTGACCACCGTCTTTAACAGCCTTTCATCTAATAATGGGATCCCTGCTTCTGGTAAAATCTTATTCCTTTTAGGTACATCTATAGTTTTTGAAGGCATGTTGCAACGTGTATATGGATCACAATTGAAATTATAATTTTGTGAAGTTTAAGAGTTCTATCATATATCTTGTTACTTCCTGGGTTTTTTTTCTTCCTGCTATGCAACAACAATTTTTCCAAGAAATAAAAGTATAATTATGATGAATAAAAATATATTTTGAAATTTTAGAATGGAGATTTTCTGAGATATTGAAAAGTCCCGATTTTTTCGAAATATTTATGCCTGTAAATGCCAGAATGTATACTCATAATTTTTTTTCTTGATGCCGCTGCTCCTTATTCCTGCCAATTCATTGGATGCTATATCAGACCATTTTTCTGAATTTTGAATGGTATCATAATTTTCCCCTTAAATTCTTAGTGTTAGAATTGCAGAATATTCGTAGTACTGGACTGAACCAGCCATGCGCTGCTCTTAGTCTTACATAAAACAAACAATTTTCGGATTGATATTTATTATTCTATTCATTGGGCCTGTTTACAATGATTTCGCAGAAGAAAGAGTGGCTGTGTTGGTTATTGGTGGAGGAGGAAGGGAGCATGCCATTTGTTACGCCTTACACCGATCTCCCTCTTGTGATGCTGTGTTTTGTGCCCCTGGAAATTCTGGAATTTCCAACTCGGGGGATGCAACTTGTATCTCAGAGCTCGATATCTCTGATAGCTCTGCAGTGATTGCCTTTTGCCGTGAGTGGGGAGTTGGACTGGTTGTTGTGGGACCAGAGGCTCCTCTCGTTGCAGGTCTTGCTAATGACCTTGTCAAGGCTGGGATTCCTACTTTTGGCCCTTCTTCCGAGGCCGCTGCTTTAGAAGGTTCAAAAGACTTCATGAAGAGGTTGTGTGACAAATATGGAATTCCGACAGCTAAGGTTCATCATCCATTTCCGTCTCAATTACTAGAGTTGGATCACTAAATTGTGCTATTTGATAAATTATTTTCCTTGTCCGTACTATACTCGTGCAGTATCAATCATTCACTGATCCATCTGCTGCAAAAGCGTATATAAAAGGGCAAGGTGCTCCCATTGTTGTTAAAGCAGACGGATTGGCTGCCGGTAAAGGAGTTGTTGTGGCCATGACACTGGAGGAAGCATACGAAGCTGTCGACTCGATGCTTGTGAGAAGTATTTTTGGCTCTGCGGGTGGTCGTGTCGTCATTGAGGAATATCTTGAAGGAGAAGAAGCTTCATTCTTTGCTATAGTTGATGGAGAGAATGCAATAGCTCTGGAGTCAGCTCAGGACCATAAACGAGTTGGAGACGGCGATACAGGACCCAATACTGGTGGAATGGGAGCATACTCTCCGGCACCCGTCTTGACGAAAGAACTTCAATCCGTGATCATGGAATCTATAATTTTCCCTACAGTGAAGGGAATGGCTGAACAAGGTTGCAAGTTTGTTGGGGTTCTCTATGCTGGGCTCATGATTGAGAAGAAGTCTGGGTTGCCGAAACTGATTGAATACAATGTGCGGTTTGGAGATCCAGAATGCCAGGTTAGTTACCAATTATCATAAATTGGTTTGTGCATGTAATCAATAGAGAACTTGTTTTTTAGATTCTGTATACACCCACATACTATCATATGAATGTCATATTATCCCACAAATTCAAGGAAAAGTAATAATAAGCACTGTATTCTGTTGAAATTTGATGAGTTCCTACAATATTGGACTTTCCCATTGTGAAAGAAGCAAGGTCAGTGGTTTTGTACCATTTCTACAATCCTTTCCCTGGTTATATATAATGATATTTCAGTGTTCCATTAAAAGGTAGCACAATGCAGCTTTTTTCTATTTACTGCTTATCCGTTCCATGACTAGTTGTCTAATTATTATATTTTACTGAGCTGAATTATGCCTCTTTACTGGGCTATGAACGATGAAAATCACTCTCAAATTTTAACAATGCATCTCGTGAGTTGGATATAGACTTTGAATACGGCGCTAACACCTTGGGGGAAGATTTAAAGTCAATATGATTTCAGTTTAAAGCTTCTCTCTTGGTGTGCTTTGCTATCATTTTCTGGTGGAGTTACAGAATATATCATCTTTTCATCATGAAGTTCAGAGTACCTTTTTGAGGAAGATGACTCCTAGTCACAAGTAAACTGGAACATGTTCTCTTCACTTACTTACTGAGTGGGGAAAATGGATAGTGTCGAACAGGTTGCACGAGTATCATGTTGTATGAAAATGTACTGGTATTGGTGTACGTGCTATTGCTCTTGTAGATGACAAAGTTGCTGGTTATATGTTGGCCGCATTTCATGTCCCATAAGCATGTTTAAGTAACAAAATTAAGTATATTCTAACCAAACATCATGACTCTTTTCCGTCCTCAAAATATTACATTTATTTTATACAAGTCAAACTATTTATTGCACACAATAACTCTGATAACTTACTTCCTGACTTCTCTAATTGATATGCAGGTATTGATGGTTCGTTTAGAGTCTGATTTGGCTCAAGTTCTCCTTGCGGCTTGCAAGGGAGAGCTAAGAGGTGTATCCGTGGAGTGGTCCACGGACTCAGCCATGGTTGTTGTCATGGCCAGCAAGGGGTACCCTGGAAGCTACGAAAAGGGAACAGTGATTCAAAACTTGGAAGAAGCGGAGCAAGTGGCACCAAGTGTGAAAGTATTTCATGCTGGGACGGCTCTCGACTCAGACGGGAACTTCATCGCTACAGGCGGACGTGTTCTTGGGGTCACAGCCAAAGGAAAGGATCTTGAAGAGGCAAGAGACAGAGCATACCAAGCTGTGGAGCAAATTAAATGGCCTGGAGGGTTCTACCGGCGAGATATTGGTTGGAGAGCTCTCTCACAGAAACAGGCGACAAAGGTGTGAAATTTTGGGTTACAAGGTCAAATTTAGGCATCATAGCTCAACATGGTTTTAGCGAAAATGGTGGGTGTTTGTACTGAAGACATTCGGTCACAGCTTTGTACTTTTCCTTCTGAAGGAAGCTCGGAATTTTTGAAATAGACAACATAAAGTACTTATTGTGTAAATCTTCTATGACATATTATGATCTTATTAAGAAATTCCGACCAAATTGGTTGTGCAAACACATTTCAATACAGAGCGAGAGGTCGTTTTCTTGGATAATCCTTGTTTTCTTTTGTTGATTTGCAGCTTCTTATAGGTGTCTGGCATTGCAACTGGGAATTTTACTGTACCACTGAGTCTTCTTTGCTAGACTAATTCCACATGCAACAAAAAATTGCTAGATTTTGTATTTCGCAATTGTGCACACACTTTTGAATGTCAAATTACATTCATATTTCCAAAGTATTTTAGAAAAACAAAAAAAAAATGTAATCAATTATTTGTAAACTAATTATAATTTTTCGATAAAGTCGTGCCAGCTAGTATGGTTTTGTACCGGAAATAAAAAGAAAATTTGGGGTCTATTTCCAATATTAAAACACCAGGATGTTCTTACTTCAAATTGATTAAAAAGCATATTGAAGTTCTCAAATAAAAGTTTAGGGGACCTATTTAATATATTCCTAATATAATGGGGACCTGCCTGCAATTGTCCCTTAAAAAATTGCTTTGGTCTCCTCCTTCCTCGACATATCTTCAAAAAACTTGCCTAAAAAAACTCCAAATTCTAGGGAAAGAATTATGGTTTTATTTTCTTCTCTATAGACTTATATGGCTTAATGCGTTTTCATTTCATAACAGCAAGAAAAAATGGCTTCCTCAACAGTGATGTTGTTCTCCTGGATGTGACACCACAGCCTTTGGGGTTAGAAACTCTTGGAGGTGTGATGACAAAGATCATTCCAAGAAATACAACGTTGCGACTTCAATAACTGAATTTTTATCAATAGCTTCTGGTAGTCAGACAAGTGTTGAAATCAATGTCCTCCAAGGTGAGAGAGAGTTCGTTAGGGACAACAAGTCTAGAGGCAGCTTCTGATAGTCAGACAAAGTGTTGAATCAATGTCCTCCAAAGTGAGAGAGAGTTCGTTAGGGACAACAAGTCGATAGGCAGCTTCCGTCTTGATGGAATTCTGCCAGCCCTACGTGGAGTACCTCAAATTGAAATCAAATTTGACATTTATGCAAATGGCATCCTCTCTGTTCGTGCCGTTGACAAAGGAACTGGATAGAAACAGGACATCACCATTACTGGTGCTCGCACATTGCCTGGTGATGAGGTGTGAATTTTTTTTATAATTTGTTGACTTACATAATCTAATGACGAAAGCATGGTTTGGAAGTAATTGGCTCCTTACTAGCATCAATGAGTTATTTTCTTGCATTTTCTACTTAAAAACCTAGAGGAAGTAATCATACCAGCAGGCACTGAATGAGCATTTATAGTGTACACTAGTTTAGCAATGCTAAGTTTGCATTTGTTCTGGATGAATCTACAAGTTGAGAGAATGGTTCAAGAAGCCAAAAGGATTGCAAAGGAAGACAAGGAGAAGAGAGATGCAATAGATACCAAAAATCAGGCTGATTTCTGTTGTTTACCAGACTGAGAAGCAGCTGAAGGAACTTGAGGACAAAGTTCCCGGCCTCTTAAAAAAGAAGGTTGAGGTGAAACTTGGAGAACTGAAGGATGCCATCTCAGGAGGATCAACCCAGTCAATAAAGGATGTTGAGTTTAGAGGCTCAAAATAAAAGTTTATTAATGAAATGGATTTTACAATTTTAGATACACACTAGACAAGAACCACCAAATGGCACTATCTAATATTATATAAATATTTTCTCTCTTCAGCACACTCTCTCACTACACTCTTTCTTCACTTGCACACTCTAT